ACGTTCACACCTCAACTCTAAGTTTCTAAACAATTGCTTTGTGAACAGAGATACAACCCCTACCCTGGCTTTAAGCTGCAACCTTTTAATATTGATTAGAGCATCAGAGTTCTTAAAGAGCATTGGTGATGGGTCAGGAGACTCCTTGAGACTTGAACAGGAACAGATTCGGGAAAAAGGAATGAGCTAATGCTCCATCTTCCTGCTGGAGGTACTCCCGATTCTCCCTGAGAACGGAATAACCAATACATGTTCCCAGATTCAATATCCCCAGCCTGTTTTGTCACCAAATTACACATCCTCTTCACCTTGTAGACACAGCTTTGTGAGTTCTCCTTACCAGAAAACCACAAGCCAGAAGGCTAGTGGAAAGACATATCTACCAAGAAAATGAACAGGGGCAGCGTACCCTTGAAAACAATCCATCCTCCCTCCGGGTTCCCTGGTTATTCTAAGCATAGAGCTCATTTAGGGCATGAACACCAGCAGAGGGCTTGAGAGGTTACTGTACTGGTTGGTTAGGGCTGGGTGGTAAGTGTGGTGGCCTCTCCTCTTCCTTTTCCCCTGTCCTCCCCACCCTACTTCTAGTAAGGAGAGTCTGACAGCTCTCCTGGTTCTCCTGGATGCCTTTCAGCCAGCAGAGTGCCATCATTAAAAAAAAACCGATGAAAAAAAAAAAAAAAAAAAAAAAAAAAAAAAAAAAAGCCAAGTTACCATGATCATGGAGAAATGGGAAATAATCCAGAACCTGACATCTAGGAAGACATTTGGACACATATAAAGTATTCTCTCCCATAGAAAGGGAGCCACTGTTCCCCAGAAAGCTATAGAGCTGAAAAACACGGCCAGAAGTAAGCCAGCCTCTTCTTAAGCACCCATGTCACCCTCACATGGAAGTTCCACAGTACCACTTAGCTGATGAATCACACATTTTTGATTTCTCTGCTCCCATTTGAGCATCAGCACATAGCAATAGCAAATACATGACTGCCTAGGGAACCTTATTTCACAATCAACACGGCCCACATCTCTGGTTTCTCAATCATGCTATTTACGTGCACAGCTTCACCACTGAGTCCATGAGCCTATCACTAAGGACAATATACAAAACTCAAACACAAAGCTTTGCAATGGGACTCAAGACACTGCAAGCCCCAGGTAACAGCAGTGGACAGCAAAGCAGAGGAGAGAAATGAGGGCAGAGCCCTGGGCCGTGAAGACGGCAGTGTAAAGACAATTGCAGTTCTTTCTAAGTTAACTTGCGTTAACCTGTAGGATCAGGTGACATGACCTGAGCCCAGGGATGAGACCTCTCAGAACAGGCTAGACAATGCAGTCTTTAGGGCATGCTTTCATTCAGGGGTGCACACAGACCCCAGACAAGATAATCCAATATTCTTAGACACTAGTTTCAGTCATTTCTTCATTGCATCCTTCACCAGGAGTTGAGAACAAATGATTCTTCCCCAACCCCATCCTCCATATCATCTATTCCTGTCACTGTTAATACTGATCATAAAACCTCCAGGGAGAAAGGAGAACCAAGAAAACATGAGATCTTTACACTACTAATATCATAGTTGAAACCTCCAAGCTCATCACACTCATTTACAACCAATACTTTTCTTTTCCCATTGCTAGTTGAAGCCAACTTTGCCTGGATCTTTGACTTCTACACTTAGCATAATATTGAATGGTATATCTGTTTATAAAGATCAGATAATGCAAACTTAGACTGGACAAATGAAAAGTGAGTCGGAGATGTGCCAAGTCTCAGAGAAATTAATTCATGTTGTTATTTCGGGCAAATTACTTAACCTTCCTGAGCCTCAGTTTACTTATATACAAGATGGGAGAAACCTCAGAACCCCAGTTGTAGACAAAGGCTTCCTAGAGAGGCAAGGCAAGGAACAGACAAGGTGCCTTTTCTATTATAGTGGACAGCCAGGATGGAAGGGGAGGAGCCACATGGTGCAGTAGGAGGCTCAAGATCCTGGAGCACCAATCACCTTTCTTCCTGGCTTGTGAGATGAGATCAGCTGCGCTTTTGCTCATGACCTTGGTGACATAGAGGGGGCAGTTGGTTTGACTGGCGATGGTGATGGCACGGAACACAGCCTCAGCTTCCAGCTACAAAGAAAAAAAAAAGTACCCAGGAGTCAGTATAATCATGAGCCTCTCACCCTGCCTCTTTAAAGGTAGTAATAGATACAGTGCTGTGTAGAGACAAAGAGACACCAGGAGGATGTTAAAATACATGACCTGAATCTGATTCTAGGATGCATGACCCCACCCCTTGTGTTTCTTTTCTGGGCAACTCGGTGCCTCCCCCATCCCTCAACAGAGAAACACCGAGAATAGCACAGGGCTGTGTCTAGAGCATGGCCTCTCTCCTCTCCCTAAATGGAAGGCTCTACTCTCCAGAGTTTCTGGGGAAACACAATTACCTCAGCATGTCTAGAATCTCTAGTGAAGACAAATAGGCACCCAAGAACATCTGGTCCTTTCCTGCAGCAATGGGTTCAGCAAATGGCTTAGTGTGATGAAGGATTTCTTATGGGAATAATTCCCAAGCCAAAGTCCACAGCAAAAACACAGTTCTTATTTCTGACCTTTTCCAACCTACTCCAACATACAATTCATGTTTTCAAATACACCAACTAACCCAGGTGCACTTACCACACTTGAAGCAATGGTTTCCCCCACATTTGTTTAACCAAGTGGGATCTGAGAGCTCGGGCTACCTTGGGTAGACTGAGAGTGAACCCTGGTTTTGCTATGTACAAGCCAGGAAACCTCAAGTATATGACACAATCACCCAGTGACGCTGCTTTGCTGTCTAAGTGGGAGTAACAGGGAGTCCTGGCATCTAGGGCTGTTGGAAGGATTGAATGATTAATCCTTTCGAGAAATGAGTGTCTGAACAGTGGCTATTGGTGTGATTGCCGACCACAGTTTCTGACCAATGTGAAGTCTACTATTGCCCAAACCTGAAGCAAGTCCTGTTTGGCCTGAAGTGGAGGCAGTGGTGACTCCTTATTGAATCATCAGCCATTCCTTCTCATATACATATGACTTTCTGAGTTAGCTTGCTCAGACCGACACTTAAAAAAAAATAGGCTCTAAAGAATTTACAGATGTCTAGTGGCTGCATGATACAAACCAGTCCCTTCATGATGAATGTGGTTCCGTTGGCTTGAGGGACTGGGTTGGCTGAGCTGGCATCCTCCAGAAGGTTCCTGGGTAAAGGTGAAGCCCCCTGAATTCCCCATACACTGCCCTTAGAGATGATGCTCTGTCACTCTGGCTGTCCTTTCTTAACAGAATCACTTGAGACCACACCTGGATGAGCTTTGAGGTGGAGAGCAGTTGGCTTTTCCTGTACTCACTCCCCCTTCACACCTTTGCTGACCACTTCAGCAGCCCCATGACCTCAGTCCTGGCCCCTTGTTAGGATATCATTCCCTCCCAGCACTGCAGAGTTTGCTACACTTTGGTGACAGGACTATCTTTGGAAGGTTACATCACATTTCTCCTTTACTCAGAAGAGCTTCTAGAGTTGTAGAGATTTACAGCTAAGTGGCCTTCTTACTAAAAAGGAGATGGGACCAGGAAAGGTTGAGGTGGTGGGGGTGGAGTGAGCTTGAAAAAACAAACCAAGGAACAAAAATAGACTTTGCTGTGAAATCCCCTGGCTGCATCTAAAGAAGTCTGTCTTGCCAGCACATCCCTCCAGTGACCAGCAGTTACAGTTTCACACACAGTGTTGACCACTGTGGCCAGCTGACACCGTATAAATGATTTTCCAGCTTTTTAAACATGGTCAGCCCCGGAACTGTCTTTCTACAAACTTCAAGTTCTTTACCACACAATGTCACCTGGCTTGGCAGCAAGAATAACTGAGACGATGTATAGAGTTAGCACTGCCAGAAATAAGTGTCCCTTAAAAAGGGCTTGGAGTTATTAGGGCACAGATTTTTTCCAGAAACTTCAAGTGTGACTAGAATGTTAATTATAATTTAATTAATCATTAATCATAACACATTGTATCAACTGGAAACCTCTAGGGAGCTGGCCATGTTCTGTCTCCATCTTGATGCTCTAATACAAGATACAAGTATATTCAGCTTATGAAAACATATAGCCTCTTTGTAGTAGGAATTTTTTCTATATTTGTTTTACATTTAGTTTTTTTTTTTAATGCTCTAGAATGGATGAGGAAAGAACAAAATCTTTAAGTTCTGGCTGTTCTGTGGAGTTTGGCATAATAGGATTAGCTTCACTGACATGAGGAATTCTTGGATCACTCAAGGTGGAGGGTCAAAACCAGCTAGCTTTCAGATTGGTGGAGATTAATTCCAAGCTCTGAGCCCTGTGCTGACATGAGAAATGGCTGACATAAGAGATAAGAAATAGCCACTAGTCACCTTTTACTGGCTCTGCAGATGCACAGCCTCTGTGCATCATTTGATGAAAGAAACCTTCCATTTCTGACCACAATCATCACTTTATTCAAATCAATAGACATAAAGCCTATGAAAAGTCTATTCAAACTTCTATCTACATTGTCTGTGTTTTCCAAGACTCAAAGCAATATGAGAGAGGGCATAAGAATGCCCCCAGTGTTTATGATGATTAGCAAAGACTTAGACATTCAGCTCTCTTCCTGAAGGCCCATGGAGTGTCCTGCTCCTGAAGGACAGAGGTGAGCATCTCCCATACATTCCTTTCTAGTCAGAAGAGGTCTTTGAGAGAGGTCTTCCAACAATGCCAGCTGATGCTCATCGATTCTATCACCTTCCAGCCAAGTTCATGCCTCCCCTGTATGTGCATGTGGCTCAGGAGATCAGAGCCAAACAGAAACCCTCCAGATGTAAAGTGGATGTCAGGCTAGGACTGTGACAGTTTCAGCTCTCACTTCCATCTTTGCATTTCCCTGTGTGGTCCTTCTACTTTACTAATCGAAACCCACCTCTTCTGGTCTACTCAGAACATGGCCTTCTGGGCCAGTTATCCCCATTTCCAACCATGGCCTTCTGGGCCAGTTATCCCCCTTTCCTCCCTCCGGGCCTGCTCCTAAAATAAGAAAACAAGAAAGAGGAGAAAGTTCTTAGATGATTTCAGCCAAGACAAGAGAAAATTACATCTGTATGCTCTGGGCTCTGGGGCACTCAGGGGGGAAAGAATAAAATTTACGTGTTGGACAAATATGTGATTCCACATTTCATTTTTAAAGTTGAATCTTTAAAAAGTTAACTGGCTTAATTTTATTAAAAGGAAGATAGTTAAGAGTGTGCATGTTTTGTCTACATTACCAATAAAATGTCACTCACTCTTTGTCTCTTTCAGAGGCAGTTTCCCTTGCCTTACCAGTAGGCTGATTCAATCTTGAATTTAGCTGTTTGTATTCAATAAAAGGTGTTGACATTTGCTCCAGGCTATGCTGTGGGCTAAGTATCTGAATTAAAGCAGTGCAGTTTACAGTTTAGGGCCAGATCCCCCAGCATGTGGTCACCTGCTGTCTCTATCTCTTTCATCTGGGCTGCTTTATTCCAGGTGCAGATTTCCAATCCAACTGTGGCCTAATGAGAACCTACAATGTCAAGTTCAGATCTCTCATGTTTCAATAACTGCCTCTGGGTTTGTTACTTTAAATCCATGGGTTAGATGAATGGATGCAGAATTCAACCAAACAAAACCACAGCATTCCTTGAGTTACTGTTTAGTAAAATTCCACATATATTATAGCATGACAGAAAGGCATGCTTCTTGTAGAAGACTCTAACTATCCTCACACCTATGAACAGCTTTTCTGAAGAAGCCGGTGGCTGGTGAACACAATCAGGGGTAGCAGAAACCTTAGGCTGCCATTTTCTGCAGTTGCACCCTGAAATTATTAAGGTTAGTTCATAAGAACCTCTGCTCCAGTGACCCCAGCCTAATAACCTGGGAAATCCTGGTAATTCAGCGGAGATGTCAGTTGGGCCAAGGCTATCTCACCTGGTAACTATGAGGCAGAGTTAGCACAAAAGGATTCCTATCAGCTAGAAAGAAACAATTTTGCTGCTAGTAATTCAGATTAAAAGGAGAGATAAAGAAATTGCTTGCAGGTGGTGGTTAAGTTTCATGGTCTCTTTTCCCAGGTGAGCTTGATTATATTTGCAATCACCTAGGAGACTAGATTGGTGAGGCATACCACTGGGTGTGTCTCAGGATTATCTGAGGGTGGACTGAATCATTCCATGGGTGGGCTTGGAACCCAGACAGACTAAAAAGGGAACAAGAAGCTGGGCTTGATGACACATGCCTTTAATCCCAGCACTAGGGATACAGAGGCAGGGGAATCTCTGAATTGGAAACCAGCCTGGTCTACAAAGTGAGTTCCAGGACAACCAAGGGTATACAGAGAAACCCTGACTCAATAAATAAATAAATAAATAAATAAATACAAATGAGGGAGGGAGGGACAGGAAAAATTCAGCATTATATCACATACATAGTAAATTCTCTAAATCTTTCATGGGCTGAGTTTTCTATTGAACCACACCCATTTTTCTTCTGGCCATTCTCATTGAATTCTTGACATATTTTCTTTCAAACTCCAGTAAGAGTCCTCCCTGATGAGGCACATAAGGGCTAAGGTTTACAACTGAATACCCTCTGCCTTATATGACCTCTATCATGGTCATATGCATTAACACAAGGTGCAGCCAGTTCATCAAGCTCTCTTGAAACACACTGCTTCAAAGTGTACAAGACAGCAATGACTTCACTATTCTGGCCACAGCACAGCTGTGGATTTCTCCAATAAGGAAACGGGCCTTGCTTTGCTATGAATCAGGTAGATTAAGTTACCACTCTGGCTGCAAGCGGTCCTCTAGTACTATGTTCTTCAGTCTTCAGTCTGTTGAAATTCCAAGGAGCTTTGTCCTAATATCAGTGAAGGAATGCTGAGCCACATGAAGAAGTAACTTGCCAGCAAGAGTGAAGGCAAGTGGCCGAAATGCAAAGTTTCCTTCTACCGAGCGTCCTTTTTAACTGGGCTGCCATCAAAAGATGCCACCTACATCTTGATTCCACATGCAGTTAAGTGGAACAAAAACATTACTCTCACAGTTTTCTTTCTAGTCTAGTCAGAAGTAACTAAACTCATTTAGGGAAATAAGACCCCAGTAGGCCACTTTCAGACATACCTGTCTTTACAACTAGGTAAATTGGAGGTGCTTTCTCAAAATTAAAAATAAATGGAGAAGAAGACATCAGGTAAACTACTTTAAAAAACCTGTAAATTTAGGAACTTATAATTTATGATGACATAAATCTGAAAACAATTTTTTCTTGTTTGGCGTTTGGTTTTCTGAAGCAGGGTCTCACTATGTAGCCTTGTTTGGCCTGGAACTCACAGTGAACTATTTTGCCTCAGCAGCTGTGTTGGGAGATTAAAGGTGTGCCCCACTGTCTGATCCCTTGAAGATTAATTGTTTGGTTTTTTTTTTTTTTGGGGGGGGGTGCAGTTTCCAGAAAGAATTTCTCTGTGTAGCTATGACCTCCAACTCAGAGAAATCAGTTGTCTGTCTGTTTCCTGAATGCTGGGATTAAAGGCATGTGCCACCACTGTGTTCCTGAAGATTAATTCTTTAACATATACTGTTTACAGCAGGAAACAACAAGCTCACTATAACCTCTAATGACTGTGAACATTTGATGATCCTCCATCCTCTGCAAGTCTGATGGATGTTGGGATTACAAGCATGGGTCATTTAGCATGAATTTTGGCTTCAGCAAAGTGTTTATGGCAGACCTGAACACTTGGGACATCAAAATATGTTGATGGGATGCAGACCCAAGCACTCTCTCTCTCTCTCTCTCTCTCCTCTCTCTCTCTCTCTCTCTCTCTCTCTCTTGTCTCTCTCTCTCTGTCTCTCTCTGTCTCTCTCTGTCTTTCTCTCTCTGTCTCTCTCTCTGTCTCTCTCTCTGTCTCTCTCTCTCTCTGTCTCTCTCTCTCTGTCTCTCTCTCTCTCTCTCTCTCTTTCTCTGTTTCTCCTACACACACACACAGGGCTTGCACTGTGATGTTACCTGGGCAATGATATCTCCATTTTCAGCATGAACTTGAGCAATGGCCCCCAGTTCTCCCAGGCAGGTGAAGATTTCATAGAGCTGAAACAGAAATGAACAACCTCATAGTCACATTTAACATAAAGACCCATTGCTAATACCAGAGCTAAAACAATATCTTAAGCCAGAGAGAAATATAGTCTGAAGACATTTTAGTCAGACATGGAGGCAAACGCCTTTAATCCCAGCCCTGGATAGGCAGAGGCAGGTGATTCTCTGTGAGTTTGAGGCCAGCCTAGACTTCAGAATGAGTTCCAGGGATTACACAGAGAAGCCCTGTCTCAAAATTAAATCAAACCAAAACAAAACAAACAAACAAAAAACCAAAGACAATTTAGGAGGTTCTGTCTGTGGCCTTATCTGAATTTACACAGAAAGGACCAATATCTAACAAGCCTTGTCTCTGGGGTCCATCTCTCACAGAGCAATTTCCCACTGAGATAGACATGGTGTCACAATTCTTTACAAGTACTCCATGAGTACTGGGCTGATACAACACTCACTCTTAATCTGAACCTCTTAAGACAGAGAATTTTGCCCTTACTCTCCATCAAGGTAAGAGTGCTAATTTCTCACATTTCCCCTGAATTGTTTCAGAACTATCAAAGTGAACCACACCCATGATTTCCTAGGGGAAGGCCAACTGCTACAATTATGACAGTCAAGCAGTCAGCGATAACAGGAAATGGGCCTGATCTCATGAAGCAGAGAGCTTCACATTTTTACCAGGTTTATGAGAGGTTTGGAGACAAGAGCTTTTCTCTTATTCTTTAAGACAACTGTTGCTAGGAGAAAGTCAAGCTCTACTCTGCTTCTCCAGGGGTAGCTAGCCCCTTAACTCCTTTAAAATGCAGTGGGGATTGCAAGGGATTCAATAGGCAGCCTGACATAGTAGCCTTCCACTGTAACCACAGTGACTCATGTTCCAAGGGCCAAGGTTAACAGCAACAATAGGAAACCCATGTGTGCAGACAATCCAAACAACACAGCCAGATGGGTTGTTACCTCTGTGTTGGACACTTGATATAAATCCTTGTAAGCCATATAAACCATGAATGAGTTAACACCTGCAAGACAAAGAAAGGAAGGAAATCAGGAAAAAGGCAACATTAATTATCACCACCACCTTCTCATCTCTATCACCCCAGGGTCCCTGACTCAAGAGCCTGCCCAATAGAATGTAGACATTCTTAATGCCCCATCTTATCATGTTTTCTGTTGCCTGTAAATCCATAGTTGGTTAAGTGTTTCACACACACACACACACACACACACACACACACACACACACGTTGTCTTCTTCTGTATCCTTTGCTAACCCCAATTCTCTGCAGTACAGTTCAGAAGATTGATAACATTTACACTCTTCAAGGAAGCAGACACCAGAGAAATCATGATAGCACACCAGTTGTTCCCACATGCTAGGTGTTGCAACACTTTGATGCAAGGGGTTGCAACACTTGGATGCACCATGTACTGCAATGAGCTGGGAATGCTTCACTTCTGGGCTTTAGTTTCCTTCCCTGAAACTAGAATAATAACTTCCACCTCAGAAGGTAGCTGTTCACCACTGAAGGTAGCAACACTTTAAAGGCTTTTAGTCCCTGGGGAGCAAGTATTTGGTCTCCATGGGGATGGATTGATTTCAGTATTTGCTGAATGTCTAGTATATACTAGGTGGGAGGGGGATGTGCCTAAGAGAAAGATGAAAAGAAAACTAACTTTAAAAACTTCTTCTGAGTCAGGTCTGGTGAGGGGACAAGCATTTAATCCTGGAACTGGGGAAGCAGAGGCAGGATTGCTATGAATTTTTCTGTCTATCCTTAGTTGCACCTTATAAATTTTGGAGTGGGCTGGACTATATTAAAAATATCAGGGCAACCAATAGGGCCCTGTTTCAAAAGAAAAGAAAACCCAAATCCTATATCCCCCACCTATACTAATTTGCTTGTAAGATATAACACGTATACATATATCATGTATATAGCATGTAAGGTATATACTTACATGATGTATTTTCTGTTCCTGAAATTATACTTTTAAATACACATGCATAGTACAGAGAAAATATGCATATTTTTTGTAAGTATACTATTTACTCTCCATTCTTTGTAACTCATTTAAAGAAAAAACGATGTGGTAGTGATACAAGCCTTTAATATCAGTATTTGGGAGACAAAGGTAGGTTGGTCTCTGAGTACAAGGACAGCTGTTCTACAGAGTGAGTTCCAGGGCAGCCAAAACTACACAGAGAAACCTGTCTAGGGACCAAGACATCCACACACACACACACACACACACACACACACACACACACACACACACACACACAGAGAGAGAGAGAGAGAGAGAGAGAGAGAGAGAGAGAATAATAAATAGGTTAAATTATTTGAATGCTTGGCCATTAGGGAATAGGGATACTTGACAGAGATTAAGGTGGTCTTGTGGGAGTAGGTGTAGCCTTGGAGGATATGTATCACTGGGGGTGTGGTTTGGAGTTTCAATACTCAAGCCAGGCCCAATGTCTCTCTCTCACTGATGCCAGCTGATCTGGATGTAGAATTCTCAGCTACTTCTTGGGCACCAGGTCTGTCTGTATGTTGCCATGACTCACACCATGGTGAAGATGGTATGTGAAAGGTTCAGGCATTAATGCTTGCCTGCTGTACTTATTTAAGAGAGAACCCCCCCCTGACAATGGGTCACTCATTACACATTAGGGACCTGCGTAAGGGCTCTGCACAAGTGTGAAAGCCTCAGTGCACATGCTCAACTTTCCTTTCAAAGCCCTGTCCCTCTCTCTGTTTTGGTGGTTGAGCACCAATTCACTTTTGTCTCTCTCTCTCTGTTTCCGGTGGTCGACCACTAATTCTTCTCTCTTACCCTCTGCCTGCCACGATTAACACCCTACCTTTTTAATAATAAGTAAAGGTGGGAATGAAAGGTTCAGGCACTACACTGGCCTGGCACTGTTACCTGGTAGTATCCACTCAGGCAGTACTCTGGTCAGCCCAGGGTTCCATGGGAACTAAGTCTGCAAGCAGGTGTAAAGGACTCCCTTAAAAGACAGCCCCTGCCCACTTATGCTCTCTCTCTTCTCTTACACACTTTTTGCTCTCTTCATCTACTCTCACACTCTCTTCTCTGTGTTCTTTTTCTTCTCTTATGCACTTCTCTCTCTTCTCTTCCTCTCTACCCTGCTTTCCCCTTCCACTGCTGGAATAAAACTCTATGGTTAATGTATCTCTTTTTCAAGTCTCATCTTGTGCCTCCTTATATTTTTAAACTTAAACATGATCACAGCAGTGTGAACCTCAGAGAAACTTGAGCCAGTCTCAATTAAATGTTTTCCAAGCATTGTCTTGGTCATGGTGTCTTTATAGCAATAGAGCACTGACACACAGTTTACTCTTCCCCATAACATTATCTAAATTTCAAATGCAGAAATAAAAATAAACACAAAACCTGGCCTCAGTGAACTAACAAAGAGAATGGGGATGAGATAGCAATTTGTGCCTTGTACTTAAATACCTAAGTCATCAGCATTATAGGAAAAGATCTATTGATGTTCACCCAAAATAAATAGGTAGGTGGGATGGTAGACCAGAAAGTCATTTTGAGGAAAGGAAAATAATTTTGGTTTAACCATTAGGGTCAGCTTAGCCCACAGTCTCCCCAGCCTAAAGTGGATTATAGCTCAAGAATGTCCCTACTCAGTGTGGGTCAGCTCAGGACAGCTCTCCACAAAATTCAGCTTTCCAAAAGCCTCTAAGTCATCCTTGGAATGACCCAGGCCCTGTGTGCTGGTTAAAGCACTAAATTTTCTACTGACAGGCAACACAAAGAGGGAGGGGCTGGGTGCATGTTTTGTATTACCTAGGGTTGGGCAGGATTTATGGGGTGCAGCAAGAGATAGAAAAAGGCATCACCCCTCCACATAGACACATGATGTTCTCCTGAAGTCCCTTCCCTTTGACCAGACAGGTCATGGGCTTTAAGCATCCACTCTGCTGCCTTTGGTTAGATGGCTTCCTTTTGCACTAGGCCTTAGCTTATCCATTTCTGAGTTCCCAGATCCCCTTACAAAGCTAAGCACAGGGTATATATTTGCATATGTATATGTGATCCTGTGGGCGATGAATGTCTGATGATCAGAACATAGGAAGAAACTGAAAGCAAAAGAGTCTAGGATGATAATGGAATCCAACTCATCTTTTCAGGAGAGGACCCCTCCAACAATATTCACAGAGAGAGGGGAGGGCGGAGAGACAGACAGAGGCAGAGACAGAGAAGCAGGCAGAGTACAGAAAGGTATTTTCACTCCTAGCTAGAGATTCAATGTATCCTTGTCCTGGCATGTCTTAGCCATTCTTGAGGATGCCATTATTATATATTATTAACAGTTTGGTCTTGAGTAAAACTTATAGAGGCTAGAAATCCTTTATCTCAGGTTTATTATCAATGTGACTTCTGGGAGGATTGTCACTTTACCTCAGTTTCTACCTGTGCAAAACTGGCAATAATGTGTTGTGCTGGTTTGTTTTAAGTCAACTTGATTGAAGCTACAGGCATTTTGGAACAGGGAACCTCAGCTGAGAAAATGCCCCCACCTGTGGGCAAGCCTATGCTGCATTTTCTTGATTTACTATGATTGATGTGGGAGGACCCAGCTAACTGTGGACAGTGTCATCCCTAGGCTGGTGGTCCAAGTTGCTGTAAGTAGGCAGGCTGAGCAAGCCAGGAGGATCAAGCCAGTTAGAGACTCTGTTTTCAGCAGTGTACTTCAGTTCCTATCTCCAGGTTTCTACCCTGTTTTAGTTCCTGTCATGACTTCCTTCAATAAAGAACTACCAGCTGTAAAATGAAATAAACCCTTTCCTTCCCTAGTTGTACTTTGCCATGATGCTTAATCAAAGCAATGGAAACCTAACTAAGCCATTTATGGAGGTGAAATGCATCAAGGATAGATCCTCTTTGTACTAAATGTCATCCTGGGCAGTTACTCAGACCTTCTGCTTTTCCAGCTGCACAATGCCTAACACTATTTATCCCATGAGGTTCCTGTAAAAAAAAAAAAAAAAAAAAAAAAAAAACTTGCATAAATGTAAAGTGCCTGGAACAAAGTAGAATCCCCACATTAAGCACTTGTGCTTATGGTTCCAGTCTCTAAAATAGGGGAGTGACTCACTTGAGTGGGACACTGAGAAAGGCAGACATGGCAACCAAGAGACAGGAAGCTCAATGCTTTGCTCACCTTTGTCTTTGCTGAGGTTTTGCACTTCCTGCTTTACACTGTCATTCCAGTGGGTGATGTCCACATGCAAAGCATAGTCACAGCAGCTCTTCCCATCAGCCCACTCACGCCACTTTTCATAGGCCTCGGTCAGGCTAGACTCAGGTTCAGATACAATGTGGTCAACTGAAAGATGAGGGCCAGATGAGTGACTCAGAACAGTTTCATTCTTCCCCGAGTCCTGCAAGTCTTTCTGTTTAGCTATGGCTATACAACCTCTGGGTGTTGGTGCTTTTAAAGATACTAGTGCTTTAAATATCTAACTCCAGGACTTGGGATTAATTATTACCTTTCTGAAACTTCAGTTTTCTCTTCTTAAAATGTGTTTTAAGTAGACAGGGGAATAGGTTATGACAGTAGTTTCCTTCTGAGTTTGTTACATGATTAAGTGATAAAATACATATAAGGTGCTATGTATGTTAGGTCTTGATGAGTAGCTGCTATTTATGAATCCTGAGGTCGAGTCACTATTATTGACAAAGTTGTGTTCTCTTCCCCGGATAGAAGAAGTTCTAGGTGTATGACAGGCACTAGTGGCCAAATTTAACAAGAATTAGTTTCTCTGAGTTCAAATTCATTTGAACCATGGATGGTACAGATTTTCAAATAATTGCTGCTAGCATAGCAAGGGTTAGGAAAAAGCTCCACTCTCATCAATGCCCCACAGGCAGCTGAGGTAAAATATGAAATTGGTTCAACTATGACATTGAAATATGTAACAAAAGTCTGGACATTTTATCAGACCTGATGCAGGAATTATCCTCATGCCTAAAACTCAGACCTCATACAATTGTAGCTGTTAGCAACATGTTGTTTCTAGGGTGTTTGATAATTCAGTTATGGAAATGGAAAACTGTAAGCAACTGAAGTTGAAAAAAATGGAGAAGTTTAGTTAAAAACATAGAGAAACTTTCTCAGGATGACAAAAGACATCACATCTATTTTAAAACCTGTGGTAGAATATGAAGAAAGAGAAGAAAGACATTCACGATCTATGACTTCATAAAAAATGGTAGCTTAAAATATGGTATATATATTACAATCCTCTTGTTAAATTGGAAACTGCACAATAGCAACTCTTTACAGTGAAGTAGGGTTACATACATGCTTTGATTTGTGTACGTTAGTGTTTCTAAGTTGTACATGAAAGGCAAGAAGGCATCTATGGCTCCTTGTATGCTTTATTCCTCACCTAGATCTCAGATTTTCCCTCTGCCACTTCACTAATGTAGAAGACCAAGCATAAGGAACATGACAGGCATGTAGAACAGGCCCTTTCCTGGCCCAGATGGCAGGCAGCCGAGCCAAAGCCAAGGTCACACATTTCCTCTGTCAATGGAGTCTAAGTGCACTGATGGAAAGCAAATGTATTCAGCTACATTACTAATGTCTTCAAGAACACTAGAGCTTTCCTGGATAGACAGCTGCTGAGAAGTCAGCTTACTCCCTTCCATCAGCTGGGAGGAGGGCTCAGGACTCCCTGGACTGCACCTTTTATGGCCTTGCTGCAATTTTTCTGGGCTTCTAAACCTAGCTAAAGTTGACTGCTGCTAATAGTTGAATCGAAAGGAAGGTCAAGACAAACTGTAATTCTGGCTCAGGGTGCTCTATGCCTGTGGGTAGAGGAAAATGATGTTAAGTAAACAGTGCTCTGTCTCCCACATTTGAGGCTAGCTCTGGGCCAGTACCCAATTCATTGAGATTCCATGGGACAGGAAAGGCTGCCTGGAATGCTATCAGTTCACTAATCCAATGGCATGGCATTTCCCAAGTCTCCCTAGAATTAGTAGTTACCAGAAGCAAAGCAAAAATAAAGGAAACCACTCACAGCTTTCCTAATCTTAAAGATACAAATTGGCCAAAATACAACAATGACCCAATAGTACTAAGTCCACCGAGGACAACTAATCCCCAAAGAGCTGTCAGTCTTAATGATCGTTCTTGGTAACTTGTCTTTTTCTCAGTTGCTTTAATGGTCATGAGGTTCATGGATGGTCTTTGTGTAATTACAGGGAGCTGACAGTTTTCCTAAGAGTAACCACCCCCAGGAACATAAATTCACAAACCAAACTGAGAGATGTGTGTCTGTGTCAGTATTGTCAGAGACCAGGCATTTGGCAAACACACAGCTCTGGGAATCCAGAATACGTCTAGTCTGGGGACTTACTGATCATGGTGGTGCCATCAGCTAAGGCAGCCTTAGTCCCTTGGAAGAAATCATCCACTGTGGTCATTCCCTTGTAAGGCATCTGGAAGTGTGTGTGTACGTCAATGCCTCCAGGAATCACCATCTTCCCATTGGCTTCGATGGTCTTCACACCTCCGGGGACAATCAGATTGTCTCCAATTTGCCTGATGAGACAGTGGAACAACTGGCAATTAAAAGGAGTGACTCTCAAAACAAGCGTAAGATGAAAGGATTTTAGACATTGGGGTCTTCAAAGTCACAAGTCCAGTAGTCGTTAAATAAAGCTAGATAGCTGTGTATATAAAACTACTTTTGTTGACACAAAATTATCTGCATGGGCCTTTTGTACTGAAATCCATGGACTTCCATTTTCTAGAGTACAGCACATGACTAATACTTTTATGTAACTTTTTTCATTATTTCACTTTGCTCTTTTTTTTTTTTTTAAGGGTGTGGGGTGACACTGGGAAAACTATGAAGAATGAAAAACACATGACTGTTAGGAGCAACAGAAGAAGAAAACCTCAGTACAGCAACAGGTATGGGAGCTTAGTCATTCCTAAGCAGGTTTTTTCTGTGCCCTAGTGAAACATCTCTGCCCCAATCATTCCCCTTCTTTTCCTTATTCGACCCTCCCCGGGTGAGCCAATGGTGCCTCATGGCAGATTCACAAGGTAAGAGTCAAACATGACGATCTCACCTACACCAACTGCCTTTGCACTGTCAGTATCTCTATGATGTCACATGTAGGTTCTCTTTGTGGCTCTGTGATGTCAACTGAAAGGTCTTTCCTGTGGCTCTGTGATGTCACCAGAAATATCTTGCCTGTGGCTCTGTGATTATACCAATAGTGTCTTTCCAATGGCTCTGTGATGTCTCAGCAGAGACTTCAAACTATGGAAGATGCTTATGACACTCTCCCTAAGACACAGTGTGACCCAGGAAGCTTTAGAGCATTCCATGAAGGAATGGGGGTGGGGAGCAAGGCAGGGGGAGTAGCTCAATGAATGTGCCAAAGGTGCATCTCACAAGGGATGTATATTTATCCTTCACAATGCTGCTTGCAGATCAATGCTTGCAACATTGCTTGATTTTATATCTTTGATCTAGGCATCTGGTTAAGTTTGTCACCATGGTATACCTACTTTGGGTACATGTGTAACCCACTATTTGTGGTATGAGTATTTTCCCTTCTGTACATAGACAAAAAGGTAGTAAAATTAAAATAATCCATCACTGACCAACAAACTAGGTTCACAGCTAATGTATTCCTGACATGTCTAAGAGTTCAACTCCACTGCATCACAATGGGGCCATTCCAGGGCCACCACAATTCAAAACACACTGTGGAAAAAAATGCAGCCTCTGATTGTAATTCTATGTTAGTCCAGATATTACCCAGTTCTGCTATTCTTCATCTTAATTCTCACTCCAGGAGAAACTGAGAACCAAGAGAATGGATGGACTCGTGTGGTGTGTATTTATATGTTTATATACACTTGTTTCACTTGTTTTATACAACTAACATAATACCTACTTTCCTCCAATACACTAATTAAGACCACAGCGATCTCTAAAATCTCAGCTTTCATCTCCTCATTTAAGCATTCTTCTTATGGTAACCAAGCCTACCCTGTGTAGGTGTGCTTCAGATGTAGACTACCTGGATCCACAGTCTTGGCTGCCCCAGTTACTAGACACAGCCAAGTTATTATTTAATCTCACCATGACCTAATTTTTTTGACTGTAAAACTGTAATATCTCTGGGCTGGAGAGATGGCTCAGCAGTTAAGAGCACTGGCTATTCTTCCAGAGGTCCTGAGATCAATTCCCAGCAACCACATGGTGGCTCACAACCACCTTGAATGAGATCTGGTGCCCTCTGCTGGCATGCAGGCACAAGACTATATACACAAAAATAAATAAAATCTTTTTTTAAAAATGTAATAGCTCCTCATTGGAGTTGTATAGATTAAAAGTTAATCTTCGCTAAGTCCACAAAAATACTATTAAACACATTAGGGATTAATAAACATAAGCCATTGTGATTAAAAATTGCTCACTCTGAATTTCATCTAGCCTGTTATTCAGTACTTGATATTGCTATTACCTGATAATGTTGGATCCTTACTATATATTAAGAGACCTCAATTTTCCTCAAAGATTCTAAGGTCCCCAAGGACTGGGGATGCTGATTGGAGCATGCAAAATGCCTACCTTAGAATGTGACAAAGCAGTGTCCAGTACCTTACACAAATACTTTGCTGATAGCAAATACTCCTGTTAACAGAATGAACTGGATATTCTAGACATATATAACATCGTATTAATATGGTGGTGTACCTTGCTGTTTGTGATATAATATCATATTAGTCAAACCCTGTTTTGAAATTCACCATTTAAAAAACTGATACATGAATATTATCTGCTTATGCTTCTTCAGTAGCAAATCATCCTATAAAGAAATTGTAGATTCCTGATGAATGTATTTGGAAAACATGCCTGAAATGTATGTTCTATTTTTACCATGCCCTTCTAAGCCTTACCACCATTTTTCAAGTTTGTTTTTAAGTATTTAATCTAAATCCTTACCTGTTAAAATAAATCTGTGTATATTCTGATTTCACATTGGGATCTATAACATAATGACATTTTTAGGATGCTGTCACTCACGAATACTTATCAGTTTCCATAAGGACAGTGGTCACATCATCCAATCTAATACAATTTGTACAAAGGGGCCTGGAGAATGATTCTTTTGAGAAAATTCAGTGTTTTCACTTTATGAAATTAAAGCTCCTTAAGCAGAGAGGAAGTAGAGAAGTAGAATGTTTCATGACATACTTTATTAAGCCATCCTCCATGTAAATATCAGCATAGAAGGACTGGTCATCGTTGACGATTCTCCCACCCTTGATTAGAAGACGGTCACTCTGGAAAAGAAGGAAGACATGAGTTACTGTCACAGTATCTAGGGGAAGAGTGTGTTGCCAAGGTATTCCCAACTTTTTCTTATAGACAGCTAGCAAGAACATCCTTGGTAAATGACTTCTGAGTGATTAGTGCACTACACATTTGAAAGTGATGCATTTGTTAGGGATCCAGTTCTAAATCCAATTATTCCAGTGTGTCACTTCCTGCATCTGAAAGCTGCCATTGTCATAACTTTTAGAAGTATACATACATATTACCTGTATTGTCGTAATGAAGCACTCACAGTTAATGTGACTTGACAATTATGTTAGATCACAAAGTTGTAAAATTTAAGAGAACCATTGCCAGGAAGAAGACAAAAATTGTATTTACTTATTTAACTTGGGAGGGGGGAGAAATTATGTATAATTTAGATTTGCTTCATTATATTCAGTATTTCTTACATTCTTTTAACCCATTTCATTTGTTTTCCATTTTAATATCCGTGATACATAGTATTGAGTTTCAAAAGGACATTTTTCATACAACTGCATGATGCACTTTGACTGTGAATGAATGCACTCCCTTCTTGCTTTAATCATGAGAAAAATAAAGTCTTTTAAAAGCTACAACTTAGATGAAATTTAAGAGTGATCCAGCATGGAACAATGAAAATATGCTCTATGGTTGGCCACAAAATACATATATATGTTCTGTACATCAGAGGAACATCAAGCCAATGTCAGTACTGCAGATAATAGAGTGAATGAATGGATACGGACTACAAGGTTATGAATGGAGATGGAGTACAAAGTTATGAATGGAGCACAAGTTTGTGAGCTGTGCCTTTGTTGAGCCATGGACAAGCACCAAATATCAGCAAAGGTGCACCTGCTCTCTGAGCCGCCTTCCTTGATGTTCCACACAAGAA